GATAAAGGTCGGGGAGTGACAGTCCCATGGAGGATGCAGTTTCTCTAAAATTGGTCCTGATGATTGTATGAGTACTTGAGGTGCCATCTGTACCAAGAGTAGATGATTTGGAGATATCAGCTTGTATTGTTTGAGCTGTTTTCCAGAGCCTGAGGCTAATGGAATAATTGTTTCAAGAACTGGTCTGCTTGATCTGTCAGGATCCAACTAACAATACTGAAAAGCCAGTTCTGAGCTGTTGGTCTGAGAGCACAGCTGAAGCTTTCAGTATTGCTGGGACTGGTTACTCTGAAGTGCTTTTCCATTACGTGGTGTGCTAGAAGAAGCTGAAAAAGGGCCAGAGCAGGTTTCTTGCAAATGAAAACGAAAACAGTATGCAGAGGCCAGTTCAGTGTGGCCATATCTTTCTACAACAGGGCATGGAGGCATGTCATTCTGTTCCCACTGATCTGGTTTGTAAAGGCCTCATGATGGATAAAGGAGCCCACCTTGTACGTCTCCCAAAAGCTAATAAGGTAGTTGCAGTATCCTTCTGCTACGGCAGGTACAATCTTTGAAGAAGACCTTGGAGGTCATGCTCTCCAAAGAGTGAAGTAAAAGAAAGGAATCTCAGAGAATGCAGGAAAGTGAATGAGAAAGGGAATGAGTAAAGATCTCTGTTCAGTGTCCAAGGAAGTGACAGTAGGAGCTTTAGGCATATGTACGTTTTGCTACAAGGAGAAAAAACATTACAAATACTGCTAGATACTGAAGTGGACCAAAAGGATCTTACAGGCAACTGGGATCACACCTGGAGGTGTGTTGGGCTCCCACCTAAAATTCTGGTTAGCTCTAGAATGTTTCAAATGATGGTTCAGTTGTCCTGAACATAATCCTTATCTTTGAATCACAGAAACCTCAGAGAACAGTTTGTTTCTGAGAATATAATTACTCAATAAAATGCATAAAGTGGTGCTTACCTGTAATCTAGATCCTAGACCCTAACTACCATGTCAGATATCCAAGAAAAAGAATAGATCATAGGAGAGTTGAAAAGGGCCATGAAGGCCATTGGGTCCAAACCCCCACCAAATAAAACTATGAACTGCACTGACTGGAGTAGAGGGTTTAAAAGGCCTTGATGACAGAATGTGTGAAGGGGAAAATAGTATGTGTGCACATATGCTGGAAAACTTACAGTTTAATGGAAAATGTGCATAAAAACTTGAACACAGTGCATGGAGATGGGGACTGTGTGCCCATTCTGATCGATCATAGGGAGGACACTGCATGTTGCCTGGTCAGCATGCATAACTTCTAAATGATGTTCTGATAATCTATTTCACATATGTATTCAATGCAGACCCAAGCAGAAAATATGCATAGAAACTGGAAATTATACAAAATACCCTATTTATTCTGTTAGGCTCTGCACGTCCCACACAATATTTGCACTCTATGCACATAGGCTAGGTAATTGATAAAAATTCATTTATGCTGATTTTTGTATATTCTCTTTAATGTTTGGTGAAAGTGTACTAGGGCTGGTGCTTATGCACATTCTCCATTCAGCTCATTTTAACCACAACGTATACGTGTCACAGATTAGTGACCCCTTCTACCTCATTATAAAATTAAGCTGCTTTTTCTAAGAAGAAAATTACTATATAATCTACTTGAGAGTGCTTAGAAAAACACTGAAGTAACTAGCACTTATATGAATCATAAAAAGGCTAATACTTTACTCTGCAACATTATTTATACTATGTCACCATCACCATAAACCAGCAAATGCACCTATTAAGGACAAACTATATACATTCTATCTATCCTTTCTGAAGTGGGTTTCTGTTCATCTACTCTTTAAATTAAACATTCATAAGTTAAAGGCAATGATTTAACAAACTAATTTAAACGCAAAAAACAAATCACCTGCTTCTCAACACAAAATGAAACAAAACATGCAGTTTATTCTTTAAGCCCATGCTGCTAACCTCAGAGCCACAGATCTGATTACTTAGTATCCTGTCTGCTATCTAAACAATGCTTTACATTTATACCAGCATGGAAACATGCATTAGCACAATAGATATTAGTGGGGGTGGGGTGGGGTGGGTGGGGTGGGGTGGAGACCAGATTAAATCTGGGCAGGTTGACTCTTCCACTGTCTATGTAAATCTCCCAGAGGGGTGGGGAACATGAAGCAAATGCCTTTCAGAAACTGCAACACTAATCCCTTTGGGTTTTCTTATAAACCTGAAAATCCCAACTCCTGTGAAAGAGAAAGCTGGTTTTTAGCCCTCATAGTTACAGGGATATGCTTGCTTATGCAATAGTAAACATTTCTGATGCAGTCTTTAGTGCAAATAACTTGCCCATCCTTAGTCCATCCTGTTCCAAGAATATAAGAAATACTTAGCAGCTCTAGGCAATACTGATTAAGTATGTTTCAAATATCTACACCCTTGGATTTACCACATCACATCTCTCGATTCAAAACATCAAAATAAGTTATGAACGTTTCTCTATTTCATTCTTTAAATATCTAAAACAATTAAAATATGGAACCTTTCTGCTTTAAAGTCCATCTGCTTTCATGTGGATTAAAAAAATGGTTAGAATCAATTGTCTTCAGCAAACATCTTCTCCCCATTATGTAATTCTAATACACCCCTCTGAGTGTCATTGCTACCTCCATTCTAGTTCAATAACTTTTGTGAGAGTAGTAAAAGAGAGTGGGCAGGTAACAGGCATACCTTACAGCCTTTTCCACTTCAAGAAAGCTTTGTGAGAAAGACAGGCTTTCACTTAAGCCTTTTTGCTAATTCCTTCTGTACTTTTTTTGTTTAGAGATCAACATTCTGCATTTACCAGACTATTAGAGGGAATGCTCATTAGGAAAGTCCACACCCAGGTAGATATGCTACCTGACCCGACTGAGCAAGCGTGCAAGAGCGGTCTGCAGTGCATGTCACAGAGCCCTTTCTTAACTAACATCAGCAGAAATGCTGAGCAGTTGGGGGCAGGGAGAGTGCTAAACTGAACATGCCGATGCCCTTCCAACCAGCCAGCTGGTGCTCTAGCTTTTTTCATCTAAGGGCCCCACTATTAATATTGACAAAATAACAGCAAACTGTCAAGTAGGATCAGTTAAGCTGAAGGTAACCTTGCACCAAATTGCTAGATCACGATTACTGAGGCCATTCATGCTTGCGGAAGTATCTCACAGAGCCTCTTCCAAAAGGGGCTCCATGGCTCCCCCAACCCCCTTCAAGTTTCTCCTTTTCTATCTTCTTGCCCAAAGAAGAAAACAATGGTTCAGTCCACAGAATGTTTTCAAATATTTCCAACATATTAATAATGTGTGTATTCATGAGCAGAATATAATTAGCGCTTGAAACGGGTGTCCCTAAGTTTATTTTCTAAGGACTTGCCTAGATATTACCTTGACTATCGAGTTTCTTGCATTTTGATGGCAATGTAAAACTTTAGTTCCTAAGTGAGGCACTGAATAGAAAGCTCTCCCTTAGAAGGAGAGAAGAGCACATATGTATGCCACAATTTCAAATCAGATGATTTTGCAAATGAAGGCTGCAATCCTAAGCACACTTATTTGGGAGTAAATCCAACTGGAAACAGTGTGACTTACTTCTAAATAAAAATGGATAGGATTACATAGCAAGTTCTTTCTCTCTCTCTGTTATCAACTGACTTCATTTAAACATATAACATAAAACTAGAGGGTTTTTTCAAAATGGAAAATCTACTACCAAGTTTATCAGGCCAAAAATCCTGACTGAAAAAAAAAATGTGCCACCATTAGATTTACTGCATCTACCATCACCACCATTCCTAGAAAAAGCTCCATTTATATTTTGTAATTATGTTTTTAAAAGGCTGACATGAAGGTTTGTTTCATTTGTAGTTCATGAACAACCCTCTAACAGATGACTGGATTGGAAGAGTCCTTAGGTCTATTTGTGGAAGTGCTGCTCATGTTTCTCAGCAACTGAAGACATGAACACCATCTTCATCACTGAAGCCCAAAGGCACATCTTCCACCTTCTCATCCAGCTGGAGGCTGCCAAAGGGATACCTGTTCCTAGAAACAGGCGATGAATTCACCACTATAGGATTCCCAAATACAAGGGGGTGGGTGAAAGGATTAACCATTTCTGAATCTGAGTCACTAGACTCTGTTCCACTGCTTGTAGATCCTTCCATCATTTGGATGGTAGACATATGGTCCATCATGCCCCTAGCATACAAGGACTGCATAACTGGACTTTGCTTTGCCTGACCAATAGATGGCATGCCATTTGACATACTTTTGCCTTCCAAGGGGACCATTTTAACCATTCCTCCTTTATAATACTTATCTGATATATATTCTTGACTTGGTGCTGAAGACATCTGGCTCAGGATAAATGGATCTGTTTCAGATCTATTACATGCATTCTGATTTTTTTGCAATTGTGGCCTTTGTAAGATTGGCGAGCATTTGCTATACCCATGGCAGTTGCACGAATGAGCATTATCATCTGCACTCCTAGCCCTGCAGTCATGCCCGTTTTCAGAGACGTAACTCTGAGAACCTGCTCTACAAAAACTCATGTGAGGGCTTGATCCTTTGCTCCCAGGGGAAAAGGGAGTGACCAATGGACTGCGGGAATCTGGCCCTCTAAACATTTCATCAACCAGAGTGCTGTGCCGTGGGGTTCTGGGACTCTCACTAACATAGAATGTCATATTAGTAGGGCTGTCTTCATTATAGTCTCCAGTGATATAATAGGATGCTTTCATAGAGGAGATGGAGGAATCCCTATATCTATTTCTATTGCAATTTCCACCTCTATAATCAATATAGGCACCACTGGTCAAATCACCCTCATAATTGTCATTTGTTTGGGAATGTGACTGGGTTATTTGCCCCCTGAGGAGGTCATACTCGCTATCTATATCACTGCAGTCAATGAAAGGAATTGATGTGCTACTTCCACGAGCAGCTCGAGATGCAGGACCTGTGCTTGGCTGCTGTGTCTGGGATCTACTGTGTTGCATTCTGTCCTTTACGACCTCCTCTTCTTCCTCCATTGTTGCCATCACACCACCATCCAGCTTCCTGCCTTCCTTGGGACTCTTTTTCTGGGAAGGGGTTGTGCGTTGTCCACCATCTTCCACTGAAAGTTTCAATTCCTTTCCCTGTTGGCAGCTTGGCAGCACTGGGGAATCAGCGCCATCTACATATGTAAAACTACAGCTCTATAAAGAGAAAGGAAGAAAAGGGAAAGAGCTGAGATGTAAAATTGGAGGGAAGAAGCAAAATCAGCACTAATCATCAGATGCTTTAACAAATATATGTAGGCTGTTATCAATACTGATAGAAAGGGAAGCTTACAAGCTCAGAAAGAAGAAAAGCTAACCTGCTTTGCTCTGACCTTCAGAATCAAGCTCAGAGATAGGATGGAGGGCTTCTGGCAGACAGAATGAGAATGAGACCATAGGGAATATGCTTTGCAATTGCATCAGATGCTGCCAGGTTCAGTCTCTGGCATTTCCAGTAAGGAGATCGGGCAGATGCACGTGGAATAACTCTGACTATAGAAAGCTACTGCCACACAGCATAAAAAATACTGAGCTAGACAAATGGTCTGATCAGGCATAAGGCAGTTTCTTACGTTCCTATAAGATGTAAATCTTATAAATGCTGTAAATAATACCTGAATAACATTGCAAACATTCATTACATTTTCCAGGAAATGCTATCAGCCAACTCAACTTATTATGTTTTTATAGTTATGAATTGAGACTTTTTAGTCAAAATGCTTATAAAGGCCTTAACTGTTCCTTGTCTCAGCAAAATATACTATCTTTGAACTACCAGGCAAGAGATCTAACTGACCCCAGAAGGAGTTCTTGACTACAAACTGTTAATTGGTCAGACATTCTTGTTCTGTTTTTCCACTTAGAATTGTGATAATCAGCTTACAATTTGTGGGAAAAATATATTTCTACCTCTTGTGGTTCATTGACACAAATTTAAGATCAATTTCTTCAACATTCTCAACAAATAGGATGGAATTGCTTTCACTGATCACAAATAAATGCCAATTTAGTCCAGGAAACTTCTTGCATTCCACTTCTCTGCATTTACTGCCCTGTTTGTTGTTACTATTCTTATTAATATTTCACTTATTCTAATTGCTCTGTGTTGTCCCCATGCGTTAACCACAACTCTTTCCCTAAAAACCTGGAAGAAAGAAACCTGACTCTGATCAAATATGCTCAATGTAGATTATATGCAGCAATGTATTCATATACATATGTATAATTTGTTTACAAGGCTGTCTGATGCATATCTACCACAAAATAAATCCAAGGGTACTTATTCCCAGAAAAGTGTGTACAATTGCAGCCTTAGTTCTTCAATAAGTAACATATAAATTTGCTGGACACAAGCTTCAGTATTTTTATTTCTGGGGTTTGCTTAAGTTAAATCTTTCCCCAGCGCTTGAACTTTCTATTTATTTGGGAATCTTCCAAACCAGAGGAAAGGATATGGTTGCCTAAAGTCACAGTGTCGCTATTCATTGGGCTACTTGTGCCTGTGAGTTATGGAGCAGAGTACTGAACAAGGCCTGGCAAAGATAAAAAGGACTATCAGACCTTTTGCTTGCAAAAGCTTGAAATATAACTGACTTGTTTTGGCACCTCTGAATGCTGTTCTGAAGGCTTTGCAGTCAGGCTCCTAACAGAGTGGATCTTGCTGTGTTTCCTGGCAGGAGGAAAAACACATTCTGTAAAATGTAGAAAAATCCTTATAACATTTACCCATCTTATTAATAAACCAATGATGGACAACTGCATATATTTAATCAAAAGTTCCTGCTTCAAGCAGACTTTTTGCTCAAAAACAGATTCCCCTTTTTCATTGCCTATGTGTGTGATATTTCAACAAATGTCTATGTTATATAAACTTCATAAAAGGAAAGGATGGAGCACTAAAGAAGTCTTCCAAGATGAGTCAGAACACAAACCAGCTGTTAGGGTTGTTATACAGTTTAGAAAAACACTGCTCACCCTGTCACAGATGGGTTTAGAAACAGATCTGGCCATAGCAGTCAAGAATCCACCCTTACATTGTTGAATGGTGCTGTCAACTAATGTTATAAATTTGTTTTTCTTTCCTTTATTTTAAAGTAAGAAAAAGTATACATAACGAATTACCCATAATCATCCTTTCCTTCCATATACGTTTTGAAAATTGAATGTGTGTTTGGTGTGGGGTGGGATGAGAGTTGTTCACTGTGAAGTGATACTCTGAAAAATGCCATCACCACATCTGCTACATTTCATGTTCATAAAAACAGCAAGTTGAACAGGCTTCTTGCAACCTTGAGAAAGCCAGAACAGGTTCTGCTATTTGTCACAGGTAGTTTTAAGGTGCTTGAACTGGAATCCAACAGCCAGCTCACAATTACAAGTTATTTTGCTGACATAATCCAAACAGAGGGAAGAAAGGGAAATAAAATTAATCAGTAGATAAACCTAATTTGTTTTCTCCTGCCTTGAAAAACCACCTCAACATATAACTGGAAGCCACAGCCAAATGGGTGGGCAGAGAGGAAAACTCGGCACACCGTTTTCCATGCATGCCCTGTTGCTTTTCTCTTGTAGGTGGAACATGCCAAGTTCATGCCTCAATTGCCCCCAGCTATCATTTAGCTAAGTGAACTGTATGCTGATAGTTAACACACACACAAACCCTGCAAAATTATTATTACAGCAAAGTCTCTCTAACCTTTCAAACTGTACTTTCTTGTGTCCTCCTTCTTTAATATAGTCGAGTACCTGCTTCTGAGTTCGGCCACTGGGAAAGAGAAAAAGCAAAAATATAGCAGAATTAATAAGGCCAAAGAAGTGCCTCACTCTTGAAGTCTACTTCTAGTGCCAGGCCTGATCATTTGTTACTATCCATGCTGTCTGGAAATGCTCAGTACTACCAGAAGCAGGGGTGGTGGCTGCTCATGACAGGGTCTGTTTTGGCTGCATCCCCTTGGAACCACAGAATATGCTCTTGTGCTCAGGTTACTTCATATCTTATAGCATCCACTTCTGGCACAGGACGAAACTGAATTAGCTCCTTTATGCCTGACGTAAGACCAGGTAGGTAAGAATTTTGTTATACTATAGAAGGCATTCATACTGGGATCCAACAAACTATGCAAAGCCTGGTCACTGGGGGGCAGGAGCTCAGTATCTTATTGGAATTATTTGGATGCTGTACTTCATTTCATTTTATGCTGCTTTTATAGTAAGACTGTCCCCGGACGCTAGTAGTTGGACAGTATATAAAAGCTTTAAATAAACAACCTGTTTTTGTGATATTCATATTTTGTGAAAGCAAAACGGGATGGCTGCCAAAATACATGGATGGTATGTACCGTTCAACATAGTACATTACTTTTTTGACAACACGTATTAGTACTGCAAAACATATATACCTTTTACCACATCTGTGACTCAGTAAGTTACTTTGGACAATCAAATGATCTTTTACCACAGACTAAAGCAGGATACTTTAAAAAAAATCCACACCTTTATGGAGATATAATCTGTCTGCTCTGAAAAGTGAGAATGAAACTTGGAACAGTGCTCGGCTACTCTTGAAAGCAGAAAGATTTAAACCAAATGGCAGGAAAGAGGTAAGTTGCTTATCTCTAAATGCAGTTCTTTGAGGCCACCTGTGAACTCCCACTGTCGGGTTATATACCTGCACAGAGCAATCATCTGGAATATGAGCAGAAGATCGAGCAGGAGCACCAGCTGCATGTGCTCCAGGATGTGGCTCCTGCTCCTTACATAGCTCCTGGTGTGCTGCAGCAGGGGAATGAATGGAGAGCAGGACATCCAAGTAAGATGGATGGTGTGTCACAACAATTCACAGGTGACCGCTCATAGAACACAAGCTACAGGTATGCTACATGTTCTTCTTTGTGCCTCTGTGACACCCTCCACAGGAAGGTGGTATCACTCCAAAATGGAAGAAAAGTGTTCAGCTGAACGCCATGTTTGCATGGGCCTTGATGCCCAAGTGCTCATCATCTACCACTGACTGGCCACACACAGGTTACAGCACTACAGAGCTGGAGAAGTGGAACACCCCAGAGAGAGGCAGCATCTGCTGGGATGCCAAGAAGTGTGCAAGTTTATAGGTAGGAAGTATAATAAGCACACTGAGCAAAACACTGCAAGATACCAGGTATCCTTTCCTGGAGGGAAGGCAGATAAACAAAAGGAAGTATGGCACAAAGCCATGCATCTACTGAGTGAAGTTTCCCTTCCAGTGTGGAGGTCGGGTGGGAAAGGAACTAATTTTAACACAGTGTTCTAAGATAAATGAAACAGCAGCACTATATTTGGAAGCAAGGAAAAATCTAGTCACAAAACAACTTTATTTCTGTGAAAGATAACATAAGGTTAGTCATGAGGAAGAGTGTCAAGTTCACTTGCTCGGGACATAGAGGTAATGGCAGTGAGGACTTCTCCTTTCACAGTGAGGAGGAGGAGGTTAGTTGTGGTCACAGGTTTGAAGGGCTTAGTTCCTCATTGTGTCAGAATTATAAACAGACTCCATGCTGGAAGCAAGGGTGGCAAGATATTGGCAAGCCCCATAAAGAAATATTTGACACTAGGTTCAAGTAGATGGGGAAAAAACTACTATGGGTATGATTATCTGAGATTATTCTCGATTATTATGTGGAGCAATGACAATGCCAACCTCTTGTTTTTTGAGGGAGGGGAGAAACTTGAGGATAAGTTAGAAAGCCTTGATCTCTGCCTGATAGGAACAATGAAAGCCAAAAATGTTTTCCATTTAGGAATGTACAAGGTCTGAGTGCACATTTTGAGAAAGCTGGTCATGATTTCCAGTTACTCCATGGAGAACTGGCACTGCTCTACATCTGCAACATCATGAGAGAAGGGGTTCTGAGTTCGGGATGCCTAATTTACCCTAACACATGAAGAGGTCCAGTCTGTGCGGAAAGCTAAGGAGCATTTTGAGAGGAGGAGCACTACTGCAAACCACAGTTGGTGTGCTTACCAAACAGTTGCTAGACAGTGCAGAGGGCACTGTCTTTCCTTTTGTCCGTTACTCATGCAACGGGCAGAAAGTGGTGAAAGCCATAACTCAGGGTCTCCACCTAGTTCATCAGGAATGCTGGCCCTGAGGCCCACTTGCCACAGAATCTCCAGAACTTGGGGCTCACCCTTGCAACAAAACAGTCCACTGTGGCAGTGTTTCACCGTTTGAACAGACATGATGAAAAGGGACAGTTCCCAATTGCGCAGGGTGATCCAGGACTGATTGGGTGAGGTCCTAATTGAGTTCATGGTTCTGGCAATATGGATGATGATGGGAATAATATGCCCCAGCCCCAGAAGTTCAGAGAAAGAGTAGAGGAGGGAGGGATTTGTTCTTCCTTGCTTGTTGACATAGAAAACATGGTGATGTTCTCTGTAGAAAATTGAACTGCCTGGAAAGCTTTTACTGAAGCTAGAAAGCTGTTATTGATGTTATTGTGGTGGGATTAGTATTCACAGACCTTGTACAAGCCACAGTGGGTCCCCAAGCTGGCAATTGAGGCATCTATGGTGGCAGTTATTGATGACCAGCAAGTCTAGAAACCAAATCCGACTAAAAGATTCAGTGAGATGGTCAACCATTTGAAGGATCATCAAATCCAATATGGGAAGTTCACCAAACATGTGGAAGAGTCTCTCTGTGTGCTGTAAACCTGGAGGAACCAAAACTTCAGTATTCACATGCATAAGTTATGGCTGCGGTTGCAGCCATTTTGCTGAGGAAACATTGTGAAACACTCAGGATCAAAGGTGAGGTCCCAGAGGGTGTGCTGAGCATCTTCATGTAGCTCAGTGGGCAGGGAGACACATGTCTCAGTGGAATCCAGAGGGGCTCTTCTGAACAGAAGAATCTGTGATACTATGAGGCAGGATTTTTCCTTATCAACCTGGAGGTCAAGGGAACTGAGAAAGTTCAAGATCATGTTGATGCTGGTCCAGAGATGATGGACCAAAGAGACAACAAAAAGCCTATGTATTCCTAGAAGCCACCATTGCCATGGCATTTGTAATTACCATTTGCAATTACTGTCTTCTATAAAGGTTCCAGGCTGGCAGTACAGTGGAAACTTTTGTCAATGATTATTCAATGATGTGTAGAAGGATATCATGATACAGTAACCAGTGCACATAAGTCCAGCTGCGTTCCTTGAATACCAGATCTATCAAAGATTAGCCTGTAGATCACAGCATTGCTCTACCTAAGGCTTTATGTTATCCAAAAAGGGGGAATGATCTCCAGTGGTTGTAACTGAAGGTGAAAACTACTATAGCCAAGAGGGCAAATGAACTGGAATAGTAATAATCTTGCACCCGTGAGCAATCCCGTGAGCAAGGCTTTGGCAATAACTTCATTGTTTGGCTTGGAGTTCCCATGACAGCCTCCAGAATCTTCAGTATGACTGGAACACAGGCCAATACTGAGCCGGTGGTGGTTTTGACCTTAGCTTGTTCTGACATAGTATGGAATGGAACTAACTCAAACCACTCACTATGGCAACGAGAATAAGATCAGTGAAGAAAGGAACAGTATTCTGGGGAATCTCTGTCCATATAGCAGTGATGCCAGAATGAAGACAGGTCAAGTGGTTCCAACATGACAGTGACCAGTGACCAGTCACCACAGTAGTAGGGGAAGGATAAGTGTGGCCACTGATAATCCCACAGAAAGTCGTAGGAGTGGTGGAGAAAACTCCCAGAGGAAGCTGATAATGCTGACAGTTTCTTGGTATCAAGAAGAGAAAGGCTGGTGAGAGTGGTGTCTCCAAGAAGATAGTGACTGAGAATGGTCCTCACGGGGATTCTCATTTAGATTCATCACCTATCCCACGCACTGGTGTTGTGAGGTCATCTCACGTTTCAATTAACTCACACAGCAGGCCGTATATCAGCTATAAACTTTTATTGCTGCTTTCTACAAGATTTATGACGTAACTGATAAACTCTACTAATGAGCCCCTTGCCTCTTTCTGAGTTCGCTACGAAAGCAGCACATGGTATCAAACCTTCCTGTCTCGTCTTTCCGCCCGAGGGCGTGACAGTCTTGTCCCTTCATCATAATTGGCTCTGTCTCTTCAAGGCTCTTCTGTCCCAGGCAGATGATAATTCTCCTGCTGAATCCTGTTCAGCAGCTTCAGGGTCTGGAGCCGGGGTTGCATCTTTCTCAGGCAGTCCAGAGCTGGAATCAGAGAGAGCTTCTCTCTCAGACACTCCCTCCTCAGTCTGCGGGGGGGTTGCGTGCTCAGGGGCCAAGGGATGAGGTGGAGGAGAAGTTTCTTGCTCAGCAGCCAGTGAGTCAGGCTGTGTCTGGGCCGTCTGAGCATTGGTTCTCAAATATAAGTCTCCTTGGTCAAATGCCAAACTCTCACTGCCAGCTCCTGTCTCTTCCTCACGAGTAGACGTCTCGGCTGAGGAAGAGCTTCCCTAGCTTTGGGGGCTTCGTAGCAGACGAAGAGGTGCTCTGAGTGGTGGATGGTCATGGTTCTGGACCTATTGTAGGCGAGGGCCCTTCTGACATCTAGGAGATGGAGGGTGGCCTCAGTGGGGGTGGATGGGTTGGGGAAGAAGGCAGGCAGGATGACATCCTGGCTCAGGTGGAACAAAGATGTCACCTTTGGAACGAAGCTTGGTTCTGGACGGAGTATGACCTTGTCCCTGTGGAACGTCGTGAAGGGAGCATCGATCTGAAGGGCTGCTAGCTCACTGGCACATGTGATGGCCACCAGG